CATCTCTGATGTTACAGTGTAATGACCTTCCCACCGCATTCTATATTAAATAAAGTTATATTTGTTTTCTTCTCCTTGAACTTTTTAATTTATTTCTTTTCACCCTGTAGCTGTCCTGCTGAGCTACTTCAGCTTTTCAGAGCTGCCTTGCAGACCCTTTTCCCTTACTTTCATTTGCCTTCTCAGGGGTTGGTTCGTCTGCTTATGAAGTAGTTATTTGCTCTTGCTAGTGTTCATTTGCTGCCTTGACTCCCTCCTGCTTTTTGTTTGATTAATTTTTTTCACTCCTGGAAATAGAGAAAATGATGGGAGGAAGCTATTACAATAACCATTATAAAATGATGTGGAATATAAACGATAGTATAATGGCACGTACAGTGGGGTGTGTCAAAGATTCTCATAGAACTGATGATCTTTCGAAGTTTGGGAAGGATGGATTGAAGCTGATGTGTGCAAGGAACTTTGAATACTAAAAGTGACAACTGAATAGACCCTGAAGAGGAGACCAGAGTAAGAATGAACTTTGTTAGGTGGGAAGGCCAGTTTTAAGGTGATGAGACAAAAAAGGCTTTGGCAGTCCCACTTAACCAGCTATCCAAGGTCCCAGGGAGCCCCTCAATGGGATGAGAGCTGTAGTTGAACCTCGGTTTTACACTGAGATGGCAGGTGCTGTCTGTTAGAATTGCCCAACAGAGAGGAGGGTACATGATCATAATAATAAGGCTTTATTGTCTTTGACACTGAGCAATGATTCCTATGATAGTGCTACGTGAAGGAAAAGGTCTTGTACTTATGAGTTCTTCCTCTCTTCAAGTGGCTTGTGCTGCTGCTTCCTCGTGTCAACTTCTGACATTTTATGAGCTATCCTGAGAATCTGTTCAAGTTCCTGAACAAATAGAAAGTAATCCTGTGCCATTGCAGTTTCCCCTAGTCAGTCCTTCCTCAGTTCCTTGCCCTATCTATCTTCCTTGCTCTCTGCCTCCTCTGCCCCCACCATGTTGGAGTATATAGACTCTGTGTAGACTCTTGGGTATCACAAGAGAAAAGAGTGAGGAAGAGTGGGATGGTGGGAGTGAAAAAGAAATGGTAAGTCAGCTGGTTTTTGACCTGTGGCTATAAGACATTAGTTAACTGTTGCTTTATGGTAGGTAAATTATTTGGTAGTGTCCAACACAAGTAGAGCAAAAGGTGTGAAACTGCTTAACAAATCTACTCATAAAACACACTTCTCTAGTTCTTAGGGTGCAAGATATGTCGTTACTGAATGGCTGACATCTCTCAACAATAGAAATACTAATTCTCTCTGAATACTAAACTTATAGTTACAGCTTAGACCCAAGCTTCCCCCTTAACTCCCTCAAAGTTGTCTCTTTTTTGCTCTCAATTCTTACACAAAATAACTTTCTTAATCTTGAAAACAGACTGAGATTGGTATCAGTGCAAATCTCTAAGTGTAAGCTCTGTCCTAATGTTTTTGCATGAATGCAAGGTATTGAATGTCTTCTGGGGTGCTTTGCGTGATGGTTATTTTAGACAGAAAAGTCTAGACAGTTCTTAGGATCTATTGGACGCCTCTACACTTGCCAAAATTTGGGAGGGAGTTTTGTTCAAGTTACACTGCTGTTCCTTGGAAGGATTTTCACAGTATGAATAACACTAACTAGACTAATCTCTCTCTCACTCGCTCTGCCTCCCAAAAAAATCACTGCTACTAGTGTTGTAAAACCTGAGTAACATTCAGCAATTGCTATTTCTGTTTCCACCTTTTCTCATTCTCTAGCAATTACATAGGTAGGAATGACCTTCTTTCATGCATGGTTTTGAATGTGCAAGAAATAATATAAAGAGTTTGCACATGCAATTGAACCAAGTGCTTTTTAAACACGCTTTGAGTATAAAATGAATAGTTTAGCTTTCAGAAGGGCTCGTCAGTGAGTCAAGGAGATAAACATAGATACCTTTTCCAATGTCGGTCTTAATTGTATTTATTTTGGAAATAGAGAAAACTACTTTCTTGCTTGAACCTGCTAATATTGCACTGTTGAAAATGATCTGTCATGTAAGAAAGTGTCTCTCTAAGTAATGTAGACTTGCTTTTTATAGTCTTTAATTCATCTAAGTTTCTCAAAAATATCCAGACAGTGCTAATGGGCAATACCAAATCTCCATGAGGTTCCAAAGTTCATGAAGAAAATACATGGAAAGAACATAGATGTTTGAAAGAAGGAAAAAATGAGCAATTCATTTAGATTACTAGTGACGTTTGAATGCTGACTTTTATAACTTAAATATTATTAAAATTTCTTGAACTGGGTTATGAGTCCTTTTTCCTCCCTTCTCCCTTTCCTCTTTGAGGTTTCATTTGCATATGATATTTAAACATTTAATTCATATGATGGAAAATTAAACAATAGGCTATAAACGTGCTTGCAGTCTCAATTAAAATGTCTACTATTTTACCATATGTTTCTTAGTAAACATAATAGCGCTAATGTTAGTAAGCTCATCTTAAACCATCAGTGAACATGAGTTTGTTGGTCTGTCTTCACTTCCTGCTTTGCATAGTTTTGGTCACTTAAATAATTGTCTAGCTGAGCAGCTGTGCCACTATGTTGGCTGTTTTGAGTCAACATTTGTGCAATTTTGTAATATTTTATATTGTGAAATACAGTCCTATAGTGTCAGTCTTGTTTTTAAGGACTCTTATTTTAAAAAAGTATTTTAAAGGTAGCTCTTCACATCTCAATAGACCTTCAGGCATAGGCAAGCATGAATTAAAAAAGCACAGGCAAGCTGAAAGCCATAGCTGTATTTCTGCAGGAGGATACATACATTTCAGTCTCATGTTTTAGCAGAGAATGAGATTCTAGAAAGCTGAGTCAGCACACAAAGGATAGTAGGCAAAAGCCACACTGCATCAAAAAACCTTAAAAAATAAAAACTACACTGCATGCTGAATGAAGTGTTTTATTTTAGGTGTTTGTGTAATTTGTGATGGAAACCATAGGCTTACAAGGGCAAATGATGGGAAACAGTGGTCTGCAAGGCAGCAATAAAAATTGGGAATGCCAAATATGTGGACTGTGTGTAGCCTTGGTTGAGAATTTGTTTTGAAAAAATAAATTGTTAAACAATGAAGGCCAGATACTTTTTATTATTTGTCCTGGGAAAAGAGTTTGTATAGACTAAGGCAGAATTTGGTGCCTGTGGGAAAGAGAACAGTGGACTCAATTTTCAAAATTTATGTGGCTTTGCCAAGACAGATGGGAAGAAACAAGAGTGTCCCCAAACAACTGTAGACCTGGGAGACTGCTTATCTTGCAGGCAGGTTTTCCCCTTCATAATTATGCTTAAAAATCAAGCTGTGTGCACTGGTAGCTCTGCATGGCAAAGAGTCAAGCTCACCAAGCCAGATGTTGATTTACTGTGATAATTAAGCTTGCCCAAGACACGTAAAGGGGTGTCTGTCCTTATTAACTTCTGGGTGAGCATTTGAAAGGCAAGTGATGTACATTAAGTCAGCCCATGCCTTTTGGAGTCCATCGTCTGCGTATCGACTGTGACTAGGCACTGCAAGGTAGCAGTGACTGCTCATGCTGCTGTTATGAAGTGAATATATTTCATGTGGTTCCGAATCCCCCTTGTGATCTGTGTCAAATGTTTTTTTGGTGGTAGAGTACGCTGGGAGTACATGTTTTCCAGGCTGCCACTGCAACTTCATGAGTGGAACTGACTGCTTCTCTTTTGGCCCTCATTTCTTTGTAGTTCAGGATGCTGTTTGTGTTTCTCATCTGCTGCGTTCGATATCCTGTCCATCTCAGTGGTTTCCTTTTGAACGAGCATAATGGATAAACATCCTTTATACGGCTAAATGGTGTGCCTTTTTTTTTTTAATGGAATGGTGAAACAATGTAGCTATTGTGGATGATACAAAGTAGATGTCAAATGTGTAATCTGAATTTTTGCTCAACTCAACTGTTTTCAATGAACATGGTCTATTTCTCTGAAACAGATCTATTTGGGTCTGTTCCTTTTGCTCTAGCCAATATGTTGAAAGGGAACAGAGCATCAAGAGCACTGCATCATCTTTAAAATAACACATCCATCCAGATTTTCTTCCCAGATTGTTGCTGCTCACAGGTTCTTTAACAACAGAGGAAATGAGCAGAATACCCACGAAAACAGAATTAACACATGAAGTTAAATAAGATGAAAACCAGAAACCCTTTCTGTAATCACTGGGGAAAACCTACTGTGGAGAACAGGATTATAGAATCACATTTTAAAGTGGGGATTTGGGGGATGTTGCTGGAACAAAATACTCTAAGCTGTTTTAAAAATACTTCTAGATAGAAAAATGAATTAGATTTCTTGTTTGTATGTGTTGTTGATCCTTAGCAAGGGGAAGGAATGGCTGCTTCAGGAAGCTGCAGGGTCTCATGAATCAAGGGAATAATGAGATTTGAGCCAAACATCATTTTGATTGCTTTGCCTTTGATTTTTTCATTTTCTTTCTCATAATTTTGTGCTTTTGTTGCTTTGCTTGTTTAACTAGGCTTTGGACAAGGTCTTGGTTCTTGCCTTGACTTGGATTTTTTTTTTTGGTCAGTTGTTATTTTTTGTGGTTGTTGTTGCTTTGGATGCCCTTCAGGGTTTTGGGTTACCCTGGTAGCTGACTCTATGTATGCCCTTTGGTCACTTTGCCTGTGCAGACACCAGAGGCATATTCTTAACGGCTGAGTTTGATCCACAAGGAGCAGGAAAATTGTGCATTGAGTTAGGTGACCCAAAGTTCCACATCATTTATATGCTCAGTTTCTATGCCCCTTCTATGCAACAACCTTAGGTGCAGTGCAAGATTCTTTCATAATTTTTCACTGTATATTGTATGAACTTGCAATTTCTGCCTTTTATAGGGTGGAGGGGTTTTTTTCTCTCTTTTTGTTTTGGTTGGTTGGTTGGTTTTGATGTCCCCTTCTTTCTCTTTTGTGTTTTGGTAGGCCTGGATGATTGCCTGCAGCAATATGTCCATAAATTTGAACGAGAAAAGATTAATGGTGAACAACTCCTACAGATTTCTCACCAGGACCTTGAAGACTTGGGTATCTCACGGATTGGACATCAGGAACTGGTTCTAGAGGCTGTGGATCTCCTGTGTGCACTGGTTAGTTAAGTGGTGAACTGACATGTAAAGTATTTCTTCAAGTGCTTTTTTGGGTGAATAATCAAGGCGAGACTGATAAAACCAGAATACCTTTGTCCCCTGCTTTCTGTTACAGATCACAATAAAAGGAAGCAGTAAGAGTTTAATTCTTTCAACTTTTGTATTAATAGCTGTTTAACTTTTTCCTAATAAGAGGCAACTTTAATTCATTTGGTTGCACTTCCAAAGAAAGAAGTTGTCCGAGTGGCAGTGTTAAATCTTGTGGCTCCTGTTAGTGAACAGAGTGATTAAAATTGCTAGAGTGAGTTTGTCTTAGAAGATAGAAGACATATTGTTGAAATGACAGAAGCCAGAAGTTTCTTTCATCAGTTGAAATAGGTTTAGGGCAATTCTGTAGAAAACATATGAAGTGAAGAAAAATTAATTCTTGAAATGAGGGATGTTTTGCTACCTCAGTTACAGTCTAGTTGAACGCTCATTGGATTCAGAACTTAAGCTGTTCCTTTGTCTTACTCCTGATATATCACTGCAGATACTTTTAAAATAAACACTCTGTAAAGGATAAATATATTTTGGATTGTTTCGCTAGTTCAGGCTTTATTTAAAAGCCATAGTTTGGACACAGTCTTGAAGGCATATTTGATGTAATGCAGTCAGTGAGCACCAGAGGTATATATAATTACATCAGGGAGAAGGGTGGGAAGGCCTGCCCAATGATTCCTTGGCCAGCACTGGCTTGTCTTCCCTTCGTTAGGCAAGGCTTGCTGCACTGAGCATACTCTTCTTAAAATGGAGAGTCTTTATTACCTGTGTGATATACTTTATTTGCTGCAGAGAGGTGCCATAGGGATCATTCCTACTCTGTGACCAAGGACAAATTGGATAGCCTGTACTGAAAGAAGTATATTTAATGAGATCTCTTCATACAATCTACATGTTTTGCAAAGAGTTGCTCTTATATTTGAAAAACGTTTTATTTCCTTTACATATGTGATCTGTCAAAAATTAACATCTACTTGAAAATCTAATAGAAGAACATAATTAGGCTGAACTGCAGTTTATGGTGTGGGAGGGGATAGTCTGTTGGGCAAGTGAAGGGGGCTGATGAGTTAATAAATGTACTGTGGATTGTATACAGTCCTGACTGAAGTAATCTATGTGGCAGTCCCTGAAGGCATTTTTTTCTTTTAAAAATATTAGAATAAAGTGAACAAAGCAGGACAACTGCCAGAATTTAAAGCTGTGTTTTATCTCCTACAATTTCCTTCTAATTTCCTTTGTAGACAAAAGTTTTGACCTCAGACCCATTTCTGGAAATCCTTTGTGAAATGCAACTCAAGTTAATGCATTAGACAGCTATTGCATATTACAGCTGAAATATCCTTGTTCCCTTTTTCAGAGGTGGAGAAAGAATTCCCATGTTTTAGGTATGCCCTTTGCCATCTTATTGATGCCCCTTCCCTTGAGTTTTTGGAATTGTATAAAATCACTGTTGATTTTCTTTCCAAGGGGATGCTAAATTCTAGTGACAGCCAGTTTTTTATTTTGTTCTCTCGGTTTTGTTTGCGAATAAAAGTTTCTGGATCCCACCTGTGTTAGTTCTTTGAAAGTGGGAATGTGTGTCATTTAGCTTATGTGTGAGTACATATCGTGATATTTCCCTGACTTTTGGGGTCTTGAAAGTAAAGGAACTATGTTCGGATTTTGTCTTTTTTTCTTTTTCTTTTTTGGCCCCCAGCACCCCCACTGTGGTATTAGCTCACACTGTGGAAACGTGACATTGGCTGAGCCAGTTTGAGGTCACACTTTCAAAGTTGTTGTTCTTGGCAGAGAAGGGCTGGGGGGGGGTTGGTAGTTCCCCAGACCTGGCGTTCTCAAAAAGAATTTCTCTTTTTATCTAGTTTTGCCTTGGCAGTTTTCCAAATGAGTTTCCTTCAGATCAGTGCTTTGGTTCCCTCACACCACAAGAACACGTGTGGCTCTAAAGGCAGTTAGGTAGCTTATGTGGAATATCTTTCTCCTGTTGAATTTTTTTCAAGCATTCACCTTACAGACCTCTGTTTCAGCCTCAGTAGATCAGTCACAAAAATACAGTGTGAAAGTAGTCCTTTCCTTGAGAAAGGACACCAAATACACCTGTTTTTTTATTTAGTTTTTTCAGGGTTTGAATATTATTTGCCAGTGCTAAGCTGAACATGTGCCTGGAAGTTATGGTGTGAAAGAGATATTAATTCATCTTTCTCTGCTGCTTTGGTGATGAAACAGCGTTCCCTCATCTCCTCATAGCAGTGGCCATATGCACAACATGCTGAAGAGGTGACAGGAGAGTGTGGACTGGGATAAAAAGTGAAGGTTTCCTCTGAGCACACATTTCTGTTGCTCTCAAGCTGGTTTGACAGAGTTTTCTAAACAGGTATTGAAGACTTATTTGAGGAATTTAGAGGATGTATCAAAGGATCCGAATTTCCCAGAGGGAGAAAAAACCCATCAACTTGAGTGCCTCTGTCTTTTTGTCAACAGTATTTGCTTGGAGGGGTCAAGGGATGGAAGAAAGACATTTCTGAGTTGACTCCAAAGTATTTGGGGAAGGGGGGAGCAAACATACATAACTATGCTTTTGAAACCACAAAAGCAAGGAGGGAAATCCAGAAAACAAACTTTTTGGGGCTTAATGCTTGCATTATTTTATATTTGTTAACAGGAAACTATGCAAATATTTTCACTTTTAATGTGTTCTTTGGATTTGGTTTTTGAATCTTTACCTACACTGTGCAATGCGAGAGTTTCAAAGCAAAAAAGCAATGGATTTTTCTTGAGGTTAGAATTAAGAGATACTAGTTTTATACAATTAAAAAAACCCACTAAAAACCTCATAAACCAAAAAGAACATAGTTGTGCCTTTGATAATTTCACTCATAGTAATGTTCTGCCAGCATATTGCAGTGTAACAAAATATAACATCACAACATAAAACACGCATACGTGATGACTTATCCTTGTTAAAGGATATCTGTGCACTGCCTCATGAGATTTCAATTTTCTAGAGGTTTCAAATTGAGTGCTGTTTATTAGGAAATTCGTTACTCCAAAGGATTCTTTAGGATGCATTGTTGTTAAAAGGACAAGAGCAAGAATGAGTGACTGTGACATTACCTTGCATTAACTCTAGTGTTTATATAGGCACGAAGTGACTTGGATCAGCTTCTGAGCAGGCATTCAGTCTGCTTTTATTCATCTTTTTCCCAGAACAGGCTTTCAGTTGGATCAACCAGCAGATCCAGCTCATCACATTGTGGGATATGAACATGGCTGTAAAAGGGCAGGAGATGCTGTCCCTGGGCAGTGGCAGGACTCTATATCAGCCCAAATCAGCTCTGACACAACTGCTGTGCTCTTTTGACTTCAGTTAGCTACATTTTTTATTTACTTTATGCTGGCTGCCTGACCTTGAGCAATTATTTGATCAGATTACTTTTTCTCATTAAATGTGGTGGAACGTAGAAAGAGCATGCTCTTCTGTGCATGTGCTCTCTGGTGCACGTGTGGGTGCTGCCTCTTGCTCCAGCCCTGCATGTGGCTCCCCAGGTTAATGAGTAATAACCTGGGAATGTTTGACATTGGGTGCTCTTGACTGCTGGCTTCAGCCTGGGTTTTGATTAAAGCAACTTTGATGTTTTAAATCAGGAGTGATAGGAAAATGTAACCTGTTTCTTTGGTTTGTGAGCAACATCTGAAACCTTTTGGTTGCTTAAATAATAATTTGTTAACTATTGTAGCCTCAGTCCTGTAGAAATATTTCAAGAAAAGCCTGCTAAGCTTTGCGCTTTGACTGTGTGTCACTGTGAAGGCTGTTTGGTGTGCTGCCACGATATCAACATTCCTATCTGTCCTGAGTCGGGGCTACAGTTCCACGAAAAGTTAAATTAATCCAAATCACCTGCTGCCTCCACCACCTCCTGTCCTCTGATTAGTGATCTGTGCTTGCACTCACCTGACCCTGAAGTGAGCTACTTCAGGAAGCTAAGCCAGTAAAAAAGTAAAAAGGGATTAGATTCCTTTGAATTATTTAGATCCCCAGACCAGCCCTCCCAACAGACTGGACACTGCAAGTGAAGGAGCAAAAAAAGAACAGAAATAGTTGGTGATGTGTGAGGTGTTCAAGACATTGTCATCTTGGATAGAAGCATTGCTATATGATGAAGAGGCAGAATGCTTTCTGTCTGTTAGAACAGACAAGTGAGGAGACTGTCTTGCCCCTGGAGCAGAGGTGGCTTGGGTTGTGATGATACATTGTTCTGGGGGAGTTCATCCATCAGGGCTGATCAATAGTTGGATAATTTGGTTTCCTGATACTGAAGAGCTGCATGCTCCCCATTGTGCTGGATAGGAATAGTGCTTAGTCAGGACCTTTCCTAGAGCGCAAGCTGCTGTTTTACATATCTCTGGTGCACTCTGTAGACTCTTTGGGGGAAGTTGTAGGAGAGCTTAGAGAGGTGACTGTTAGAGCTTGGCTGTGATGTGCTCTTGATAGTTGGGTAGACCAGTTGCAATTATGAGCTGCAGCCCCTGCATCTCTAGAGGCAACACTTGTGTTGATGAAGTCTACCTCAAAACTGAGGTAGACAGATTTATTTAAGAACTACCTCATCTGGAAAAGTCACACCAGACTCAAATGCTGTGTAAATAAGGAATTTGAATAAGAGGTGTGATAAGGAGTATGTGAATGTTTTAGGGCCAAAACCAAAATCTTACCTGGTATATCAACACGTGTCTTCTTAAATGGTGCTGTATCTAATCTCAAATACCTGCAGATGATTGGCACAATTTCTGCATCTGAATGACAGAAAGACCTGGAGATAATTATATGAAGACTCAAGTTCTGACCAGAGTTATTAGGTGGTTATACCTCTGCACAGAAAAGGTATTTTGTGTTTTCTGTCCCTTTAAGGAAGGAGGGGATCAGTGTCCTCCAAATCTCTAATTTAAAAGGGGATTTTCTGATGTGTGACTACTTTCTTGTGGTCATAGGAACTTGCCCCACATCCAGGCCTGTTTGTGAAAAAGTATTTCTTCAACGATAGACTAATATGTGATGTTCTGTGAGGAGGAGAAAACTGACTACAAGAAATGCATCAGAATGATGCTCTTGTGGTGTTTTCTTCTTTTGCTGTTGTTGTTAAAATTAAAAGGTGATAAGTTCACACATGACAGTGTGCAAGTACTTTAAAGTTGTTTAGTAATACAGATCTTTCCCTTTCTGTGATCCTGGAAAATTTAAGGATATCCTTTGCTGTTGCAACAGTGGTATTTTTTTTAATTGGACATATCCTTTCAACCCCTACTCCTGGCTGCACTTTAGGGTACTTCCTTGCCAAGAGCCCTGAGGTGGAGGAGGGAGGCACTTGTGTAACTTACACCCACTAGAATCTTATCCATAGCAGGCATTTTAAAGGTAGCCATGTAGCTGAAACCTCTCCATACACTGATGGGTTTCTTTGGGTCAAAGATTCAGTCTCATCATTTGTAAATTACTTAATCTAAAATATTCCAGACTCTTTTACGGATGCTTGACTGTGGAGGGAATGGAGCCTCAAGCCAGCAGTGTGCATTAGCAGCATCCTGGTCTGCATTAACTGGAGAGGGAGGGAAGTGATTATCACCCTGTACTAGTCATTCATTAGTCTGAATATGCCCCTTGCCCTAAGTACAGGAAAGATATAGAGAAACCAGAGCAAGCTCAGTGGAGGGCTATCAGGTTGGTCAGGGCTGGAGTACTTGCCCATGAGGAGAGACTGAGGGACTGGGACTTCTTCAGCCTGGAGAGGAGACAGTTCCAGGGAGGTCCAACAGCAGATCCCTATGGTGTGAAACACAGTTGGCAGGATGACAGATCTGGGCTTGCATGGCAGGAAGATGAGAGACTTTGGGCAGAAGTTGAAATGAGGTTCAAGCTGGATATAAGGGAACATTTGCTTACTCTCAGGACAGTCAGACGGTCAATCAAATTGCCCAGAAAGGTTGTACAGTCTTTGTCCTTGGAGGTTTTCAAGACCTGACAGGATGAAATCCTGAACGAGCTGCTCTGAACTCTCAGCTGAGCCTGCTGTGAGCAGGAGGTTGATCTGAAACCTCCAGAGCTCCCCTTCAGCCTGCATATTGGGAACCCCTGGAAACTAGGTGTAGAATGGAATCAAAATTTTCTTTAGTTGCTTTATGTTTTTGAGTGGGAAGGGAAAAGGAGTAGATAGTACAGCTGACTAAACTATGGAACTTAGAGGTTGGTTGCAAGAATCCGCAGCAGCAAAAGAACAGAGAAAGGCAGGACTTTTTTTGTATTTTTGGGTGTTTATTTCGTTCTGGTAGGGGTGTCTTTTTGCTGTTGTGTTGTTGTTGGTTGGTTGGTTGGTTGGTTGGTTTAGTTTTTTTCTCCTGCCTTTTCTCAAGAAAAGAAAGAATTTTCATTCTAAAAGAGCTAAGCCTTGCCTGGGACTTACACAGAAGTTTTACAAGGTGGAATAACTCAGAAGCAAAGATAATTACATATTGCTACATAATTCATACATTTGCACACTAACAGTGAAAAGAAGACATTCTTGATTACAAAACTGAGTTGCCTTCAGAAGAGAGAAGCATTTCTGACATGTTTGGAATGAGATGATCAATGCATTACTTAAAACAATTGGGGTTTAGTCCTATGGAATGTGGCTTGGTTGTATTTGGATTTATAAGGTTGAAGTTATAGGCAAGACTTACAGAATTTTTTAGGTTTTGTAAATTTTTGTAAAGATGCTATTAAATGAAAAATGTCTAAAAATGGTTTTAATTAGTATGTATAGTCTTAATGCAGTCCTCAAACTTGCAAATAATTGCACTGTTGTAGTAAAAGAGCACAGTTACTGAAAACTTGTGATCCAAATATTTACTTAAGATTTTGATTGCAAAATTACATTTGCTTCCTGTTGATGTTTTTATCTCCTACCAGATTTAACTTATCTTTAGTTGTGAATGAAATGTTACTTCAGTGTTTATGTACCACAGTATAGAAAACATTTTAAGAAAAAAACAGTGTTGGCTTTCCTTTAACAAAAATAAAAACAACACAATCCTGTTATTAAGAAGTAAATGACATGTGTTAGGACAGTGGGACTTCATTCTGATTGTGTCCTCAAATCTCAATGTCAGAAACTGGGGGTGGTATTGGCAAAAATATTCTTTAGTGGCTATAGTGTAGAAAAATCTTAGAAGGTACTTTTGCCAAAAAAACAGAAGAAAACTGTGTGAATCTTCAGACTTTTCATCCCATATGAGCTTGTAACTTATGGTATAAATAAACAGGAGAACTCAATGAGGTTATTTATCGTGCTTAATAATACTGCTTGCAGAACTATGGCCTTGAAACAGACAATATGAAGAATCTGGTTCTCAAGCTGCGAGCGTCATCCAACAACCTGCAAAATTACATAAGCAGCCGTAGGAAAAGTTCAAATTATGACGGAAATACCTCTCGCAAGCCCCCCAATGAATTCCTTACTTCTGTGGTAGAGCTTATTGGTTCTGCTAAAGCCTTGCTTGCATGGTTGGACAGGTAAGAATAAAATCATTATGTTTTAATTTGCTACTCTAATGAATTGTTTCTCCTTGTAGGGCAGTTCCTAGATGCCTGGGTGTAAAGATCTCGATCTCAGTCACTCCTTTTTTCATGTTGCCAGAAGGCCTCTAGCGAACAAATTTAATCTGGGGTAATCTACTCTTGCACTTCCACTCTTGCTGAAACCAGCAAAACTATTATATTGTACACAAACTGGTATTTATAAAAGTAGGAGTCTTCCCTTTTAGGTCATTTCTCATGCATGTGACTTCTTCTCTTTTCCCCTTCCACCTTATAAATTACTTGCCATTGGCAAGTCCCTATCTAAAAGAATTTTTAATGTTCTGCTAAAATCATGGCCTTAGCTATGTTATTTGAAAACTGAGCAGTGGGAGAGATTCTCCTTATGCCTGTTTTGTTTTCTGGGGTTTTTTTCTTCTTTTTTTTGACTTATTTAATTCTTTTTTTGTCTGGAAAGAGCCAGAGTTGTTTTGTGACAGCTATAGCAGGTCAAGTGCTGGCAGGGATGCAGTCCATGATAACAGATGAACATAAATTCTCAAACCCCTTGCTAGCTTTCCTGAGAAGGAGGAGAACTGCACGGGGGCTGGCAGCAAGAAGCACTTTTATCCTTTAGTATCCCTACTCTCAAGCAAGGAATTGGTCTGTGTCCAGGCGGTGACGTTAACAGCTTGTACCTTTCACCTGGTCCTCTTCTTTCACCATGTTGCTGGCAGCTCACCCTAGATTTTTTCTAAATCACCATCAGGAAAATTGCTGGCTTGTCCATTTCCAAACCCACTGTTGTTAGTTCTCAACCCCTCTTCTAGCTTTTGCAGCTGCCTAGAGGATCTGAGGTAGTACTCTACAGGCTGTAAAGCTGCCCTACCTATAATGATTCTTCTTAAGTCTCACTGTATCTCTGTCTGTAAAATGTGAAAATCCATTTTTCTTCTTTTAGAGAATTTTTTTTTCTTTGTCCAGTCAGAAAATTAGAGGTCTACTCACTGGCAAAGCCAAGTGTGTGATTTTTACAACACAGCATGACTTGAGCTTGCAAGTAGAGAGAACTGTAGTTTGGAAAACTGACCATTTCTTCTGGTTCTGTTCTCTGAACTTGCTTACCACAGGGATAGACATTTTCCAGTTTTGGTGCAGTCAGGAATACTTATGTTGTAAAACTGTATCCTCATACCCATGTGAATGTCAGAGTTTCAGGTTGTACTCTCATATGCTCTTCGTCACTGATAGTGTAGGGTTGGAAAAGGCTGGTCCCTTTGATCTAAGGGGAATTTTCTCTTGTTGCAGAACCCCATTTACAGGTATCGCTGACTTTTCATCAATGAAGAACAGAATCATTCAGCTCTGCTTGGATCTCACTACTACTGTTCAGAAGGTCAGCTTATTTCTTTTCCTCTTTGCTTTCCAAAAGGGAAGGAAAGGGGGTGTTTGGGGAAGTAATGTGCTTGCTGTGTGCTGAGTGCTAATGAAAGGCAGATCTGGGAATGAGAGCTTACTTTAAACTTCGAAGGTCCATGAAGGTCAGTTTCAGTTGTTTGTTTTTCTGAGTGGTGGGAGTTTTTTGTTGTTCCTACCCCAATTTCATTGCTGGCTACATCTGAAGTGACTGCAGTTTAAAGGCTACTTATATTTCCTTGAGCTTTATGAGAAAGAGGGTTAGTTTTTGAAATAGTCGATCTGCATTTGAAGATCTTCACATTCCAAAAAACATGTTCATAAACAGTTATCAGTGCTAACTCTAAACAAAAATATGGCTCCATTGATTTTTACATCTGTGCTTGCAGGCTTCATAGGTCTGGTCCCATAACAGAGTGGTTTAGCCATCAGATGGGAAATGCTGCATGTAATGGAAAGAGTTGCCACCTTTACAATACAAATTGCACTAGCCAGGCTGCTTCTGCCACTACTCCAACACTGCGGTATTTTTCAAAACTTTAATTTATCAGCTGTGTGAGGAGTACTTGTACAGATAATAGCTGAAAGGACATGCAGCAACATGTTGCATCTTGGCAAATGACATTTTTTTGCTCTCTGAATAATACTGCCTGTCTTCAAAACTGTTCTGAGAGCATACCACTGCTTTGGCCCTGAAGCACTGTGTGCACACTTCAGTTACTGCCAAACTTGCTCATAACCATTACTCCGTGGCCATATATTGTTCAAACTCTGAAGGACCATGTCCTGTGACATGTGTGATTCTCTCCCCATGTTGAAGGGATGATGTCAAAGGACAGAAACATCCTATGAGTTGTCAAGCTATGATGACACCCAATTATGTCAGTTTTATCATTGTCAAAGGATAGTGTCTGGGTACTGTAAATTCTAAGGTGCACAGGTTTGTCCTGCTGCTTGATGCCCTTCTTGCTTGGGTGCTGTGTGTTCAAATGCACAAAATCAGTGATTTACAGCTACCGATTTGCAGATTGTGGAGTAGAACAGTAAGTGTTTCTAGCAGGAGATGGTGTTCACCCAAAAGTGCTACAGGAACTGAAATATGAGATTGCTGAATATATTAATAAAACTGCTAAAAATGGTGTCTAATCTTTCGGTTAAGTCAGCCTTTGATAGCAGAGGAATGGAAGTTGGTGAATACTACACCCTAGCCTTTTAAAAGGCATCAGACTACTTCTCTGCCAATTCGATAGGAGCTATAATAAAGAATGGGATTGGTACAGACAAGAAAAACCATTAATGGGGGAAGAACCAACACTATTTTGTACTGGGACACTGCAGATGTGTTAGAATGGTCTCAAGGAGTCCACTGATGTGAAAAAGAGAGACACAATCGAAAAAATTTTAGGAGGGCTTTTAGACTTCAAAAGTATTTTTTTATTGGAGTATAAACTATAGGAACAAATGGTCAGCTCTAATAGTGGAAAAGAGACCAGGGTGTCTCTCATGGAACCAATAGTGCTCTGCATAATCATAAATGATGTATAAAAGTGGGTGAATAATGAAGCAAGGCAGGAATGCAATAAGATTCTAGTTGACTCTAATGGTAGCTATAAAGACTCAAGGACCAGAGCTTACTCCACCTAAAGTTCTGTGGCAAACTTTAAGGTTGAATGAGTAGGAGCAGTAGGACTTTGCAATATTGAGAAACTGAGCTGCAGGATAGGTGACATTTCCCGTTGACTCATGCGGATGTATTTAGCCGAGAAAGGCAGGAGACAGTCCTCCACGAACTTCTCCAACATGACTCCTTCCCACAGGCTGCGCTTGTTCATAAACTGCACCAACCTGGGTCCCTCCCACATGGTGCAGTCCTTCAGGAACAAACTGCTTCAGGATGGGTCCCCCATGGGGACACAAGTTGTGCCAGCAAACCTGCTCCAGCATGGGCTTCCCATGGTGTCACAGCCTCCTTTGGGCATCCACCTGCTCCAGTGTGGAGTTTTCCACAGGCTGCAGGTGGATCTCTGCTCCACTGCAGACCTCCATGGGCTGCAGGGGGACACTCTGCCTCACTATGGGCTGCCGGGGAATCTCTGCACTGATGCCTGGAACACCTCCTGGCCCTCCTCCTTCACTGACCTTGGTATTTGGAGAGTTGTTTCTCTCACATATTCTCACCCCTCTCTCTGGCTGCAATTACACAGGGCTTTTTTTCCCCACTTCTTAAATCTGTTATGCCAGAGGTGCTGCCACTATCGCTGACAGGCTCAGCCTTGGCTAGTGACAGGTCCATCTTGGAGGTTGTTGGCACTGGCTTCATGGGGAAGCTTCACAGGGGAAGCTTCTAGTAGCTTCTTTCAGAAGCCACACCTGTTGCATCCCTGTTACCAAAATCTTGCCATGCAAATCCAATACAAATGTCAAAGGCAAATATCCTGAAATTTAACCTTGTTAAAATGCTTGGAGTTTGGGGGTTTTCTCCTTATAGATACTATAAATCTTGTTTTGTTATTTATCTGCTGTATTAACTTTTTAATCTGAGCACAATATTATTCTCCAGTTCAACTCTTCTTGCAGAAAACAGTGATGACTTCTGTGGTTTCTTACATGAACTTGTTTCAGTTCAAAGACTTTTGTATCTGGGCTGTGTAAACAATGCTTTGTGTGCAGTCCTCTGCTCTTCAGGAATGTAATCAATTGCATATTTTAAAAAAATCACTTTCCATTCTGTTTTCAACAATATGTTTTATATACATTTTGATGCCTCGGACGGAGGAGTGCCTTACCAGTCAGTGTAAGGCAAACTCATCTGCCTGGCCTTCTGAGAATACTTTATTTTGCAGGGTTCTGCTTCTCTGGAAAAGTCAGCTGCTGTAATTGAATCCCACATTCTCTTAGTTTTCAAGGTTTATTATTGCTTTCTACCGGGGCCAGAAAATAGTTGCTTAACAACTATTTGAGCCCTACTGGGTGAAACTAATCTGATTAATCCCTGCAGCATGAATAACTATTTCTATTCAAGGTAAAAATGGCAGTTTTGCAGCATTTTCAGAGATGATTTGTTTACATGTTTATTGGTTAATGAAGGGCTTTGGTTCTTGTTTTATTTTTAGGATTGCACTGTGGCTGACATGGAAGATAAAGTCCAGACTGTGGTAAGTTTACGTTTCTGTTGAAACTCAGCTGTTTGCATTCACATTTATTTCAGTTGCTCCTATGCTGACTGTACTGACAACAGCTTTTCAGTCCCAAATGTACAAGCATATCTTGCAAGTAAACATTACTATGGGTTATTTTGTGAATATTCTTCACTGTAGAGGAAATCAATGAAATTTGAACAGATGGGTAGTGTGTGTAATAGCATGGAGTCAAGTATTCCTTCACATTTCATTCCACAGCTATTTTTCCAAGAGGATTTTGACCTCAAATTTTCAAGGGAGGAGTAGTACTGTAGAATGTTCATAGGCTAAATAAACCAATTATGCCTGTGAAGTGCAGTTAGTACCTTAATAAGCAGACACTATGCCTTATTACACTTCTTCATGTCGAAGAACTGCCCTGCCACAGAGCTGAAGTTCTGTTTCTGTTTGTACTTGAGCTTGAGTTTTCAGGGTTGTTTGAAGCAGCCTTGTGACCAAATGTGGAGTGTAATGGAATGCTTTTTATATTTTGTAACAGTTAATCATCGCTTCCTGCTTTTGACATGAACCAGGCTGTGCTCTTTGATAAGGCCTTCCGGTAGCTCATAGATGCTTAGGAATTTAGCAGGAAAATAACTAAAAATAATTTTGTCCATAAATACTGAGACCATGTAAAAGGGAGTTTTCTGTATCTTTCTTTTTCCATTTGTGCACATCCACTCTGGAAGTAGGTATTGTTGTTTGGAATTCCCTTGTTTGAGCAGTTCCTTGCATTCACACTTAAACATTGTTTTGATTTATTTTATTGCTGCTCTATAAATCTGACGTAAAACAAAACAGAAAACATTGGAACTATTGTTTCCAGGGACCATTGTAATCAAAACCGCTGTCTTCCTATGACACAGCTCCCCCCATCCTGTAATTACATATGTCTACTTTGACTGGAGGATTCAAACACCTTGTGAAAGGTGACTTGCTGGTTCCCAAACTGTTTATAACTGACTACTGTACTGTACTAATCCTCTCACCCTTCCCCTTTTAGCTTTTGCAACTCACTTTGAGTTTCAGCATTCCTTCAGTTAATGTCAAGATGGAAAACACACTGTGGGAAGTAATGAAATTTGTGAGTGTAGAGAGGGCACTTTTGACTTTTTTTTTTCCTTTTTTCCCCCCTCATGTTTAATTAGCCCTTCTAATAGTTAAATGTTCTACAAGGCAAAGCCATTCTGCCTCTAACTATACTGACACACATGCCAAGGTCAGAATTAGCCTTTAGTTATAATGTTGGCTTAGGATCAGTTATGTTTCAGTCAAAAGGAAATGTGAACCTTGCCTGCATAAGCATTCCAGAAGAGGTCAGTTCAGAGGCACAGTGGAAAGAAGTACTGCTGAAACACTTAAGTTCTAGGTGTCCTACCTTATACTGTAAAGCTTTGTGCAGTTAAGTCAGTGGCCAGCACATCACTTTTTGTAGCACATGGCCAATTTTATTCTCATAGCAGAAATAAAGAACAACATGAAAAACTGTCAGTTGTTCCCACAAAGAATCATCAAAATGTTTCAATATTTTAATGGGTTGTATTTTGGTTAAAATGAATAAGCCCCTACGCAATTTTTTGCTATATTTTCGGTGTTTATTGTTTTAGACAGAGGATGTGATAGCATCTGCTAGCGATGGTGATGGGGCACTAATGGAAACAATGTTTTTACTATGTTACAGTAGGAATATAAACATACTGTAGAATAGATTTGTACAAATGAATCTGCTATTTCAGTGGTTTTAAAACTCATTTCCTTTACATCTTTTGAGAACTGGAAGAGGAAGAAGCCAGGGGAGAATTTTCCTAACTGTTTTTTGTGTGTTCTCATTGTAGGCCAAGACTTTAAATGGCATTTGTGATAAAGCCATTCGATCAACTACAGATCCACTGATGAACCAGTGTGCCTGTTTGGAGGAGGTTCACTTAACCAACATTAAACCTGGGGAAGGCCTGGTAAGAACTGGAGTCTCCTGATGTCCCCAGTGTTTTATAGGTAGTCTTGTGAGCCACTGCAAGTGTTTATCTATAGTAAGTTATTTCAAGACCAATAGTAACCTATGGAGAAAAGAAAAAGGCATGGAGAGGAACTCTAAAGGTTAATGGTCAGGTGGTGTGCTGGAGTGGCTGCCAGAGACAGGTATGCATGTTAATAGGTTTGATCCCAAATATAATTTTTAATGGTAAATTGTTGAAGATTTTTGTCTTAATGAGGATATTGGAGAATTTACAAAGACTTGTGAAATTAGTAGTTTTATTTTTGCAGGTTACCTTTTGTAGTTATTTTTCTCATAGGGCTGGGAGAGGGAGAAAGTAATGAGAAATGATGTTTGTGTTTTGAAAGATGTGGTTTTATTTGTTTTTGTAGCAAGACTGAGAAGAAAATGAGAGTTTTTGTGGTTTACCTTTAGCAGGAATATGAGAACTTTTTAAATGTTCAGTGACTGACTCTTGTTCATTCAGTGGATTCTGCTTAGCTGAGTGCTGGTTATGAGAAACTTAGTTTGAAATCTTAGTGGCTGTTCTATCTAGCAAACAGATGTGTTAGAATGAGTTGGAGGGAATTTAAATTCTGAAGTGCATTTGTATTCACCCCCTGGCCCTGAAGGCAGAAGAGATGAACACTTACAGAGAAAGCTGCACGGTCTTACTATGCTATATAGTTTTACCTAGACCAATGGATTTGACTGAATTAGTCATGCATTCTTGAAATTATGGGGAACCTCTGTTAATGTGCAAGCTACAACAAAGCGAAGTCAGTCTAGCTTGGACTAAGTAAGAAATGAAGAGGTAGGTGCACACAATTGGTAACTGACAGGCAAACAGGGAAAGAATTGGCTGGATAGGAAGGATCAAAAAAATCTTCTATTTTTCCTTGTACTTTTAAGCTAAGCTGCTTCAGCTCCAGAATAACATCCAGTTCTATACTGCTCAGTGTGAGTGCTTCTAACAACAGATGTAGATAGGAAAAGTAGATATGTATTTGTTCATAAATGATGAAACCAATGTACTGGTCACTTCTTGTGGGGAAATCTATGTAATTATTAGTTAATAGCCGGCTTGTGGCTTTTAATTTGGTGTTCTTATGGTCAACACCCACTTCATCTGAGTTTGTCCTTGTATTCACACTCAGTGTTAACATACAGAGCCACAGACACTCTGCTGGAGCTTTTATTGCTTATGTCGGCATTGTGGTTATGGGGTAATCTGTGTATTGACTTGCCAAGAGAAGCTGTAAAAGAACATGTCTGCAATATTTGTAACCCACCTGTGTAAGTGAGGTTTGTATGGGGAGAACTAGTGGCTACCTAGTAAAACCTGTAATTCTCTAGTGCAGACTGGGTAGTAAGGAAATAAAGGTTTTTTTTGAGGTCAAAGACTGACAAGGCAGCAAAACGAGCAGTGTTTGGTATTACCAACCAAACAATGTTTCTAAGTCACATTCCATATATTTGGTGTTTTAATTTATAATAAATATTATAATTAATTATAGTAAAAGTGATCTGTGAAGAAGTTTAATGTAAAATTAGACCACACACTTATCTAGGGAAAATGTATGAATTGTTAGCTGGTTTTAATAATGTTTTGAGTCTGTTGCCAAGAGTTGTTTAATCAGATAAGTTATGTGGTTTGTGTTGCCTTTAAACTTGTTTTTCATTTTTTCTTTATATTTAGGGAATGTACATAAAGTCAACTTATGATGGATTGCATGTAATTACTGGAACTACAGAAAACGTAAGTGGAGTAAATATAGATTACCTCAGGCTACCTGGACAGTAGCTTTGCTGAGTTAGTTTGACTTACTAGTTTTTGTTGTTTTACATATGACTTGCATGGTATTAATACTTGTAATACTGTGTGATGTATTGTTTGTTTATCCATAATTTGTAAATATTTTGTGTCTTCATGTTTCAGTGTTAGTCAAATTAAACCAGTTTCTGCAAGTTACATGAGTTAGTTCAAATGCTTGGCATTAAAATAATTACTTTAATAAGATATTGTATCTGCTGTTCTGAGCCCTTATGGTATCTTGCTTAACAGTCTTGGATGTGTTTGCTCTCTGCTGGCAAAGGCAATCTCCCCTAATGGGAACATTTAGGTGGTAGTGTGCTAAATTCAGTAATGAGTAATGAAATTAATGAGCTGTCCCGGCACAACATTACCTTGCAGAGTAGAAAGACTATGAACAAGTAAGACTTTTAAGAGTGGTCAACTGGAAGGAAATAGTTGGTAGGGTAGGCAACTAGTTTTTCCTTCTTCTATTTGTACACTGTGAGTCCTTTGTAGCGGAGACTTCATTGAAGGCTTCTGGGTAATCATGGAAGGAGTGGACCTCTAGCCAGAAGCTGAGGCTGGCAAGTGATGCTGTGACCCACAGCATCAGTCAAACATGCTGCTGTACAGGAGCAGTGACTGAAAGAAAGAAGAGCGGAGAAACTTGGCTTTTGCAGCAATGTTTTTTTTTTGTGAATAGGAAAAAACCAGTGCTTCTAGTTGTTACCCCTGCCAAGTCTAGGGACCAGGAGGAGAGCATGGAAATCTGTGCTTGCAGTTCAGAGTGCAGAGTGAAAGCTTTTATAGCTTTTATGCTACTGTCATGGCATAACTCTGTATAGAATCTGCCACAAAGACCAGGCCCACTTTGACAGCAATTTCAACATCTGATAAATGTGAAAGAATGTCATGTTGACTGCTGACAAGCTGCCTCTTCATGTGGATCTTATTTTGGGGGCTGTATTTCTTCTGTAGCTTTGAGTTTTGACTTAAATGTCTGCTTTTTTTATCAACACTGGTTCTTCCTTTGGAGCAACAGAACTTGAAGTGACTGAGATCTGCAAGCAAACAACTGATGTCTTTATGGTGGCATGGTATTGTTTAGATGACCCAGGCTGGGTCTTAGCTCAGTTTTCTTCATAGGTTTGGTATCTCAGTAGCTATTCCCAGAAGCTGGTGTATGGGAATGCAGTGGAATTGCATCCCTAAACTGACAGTACTGAAGAGTGGAAGGACTGGGGAAGTTTGTTTGTTACCAGTCAGCCAAGAGTATTCCTGAGTTGTGCCATCTTACGTGTGACTTCCTGTGTCACATTGACCTAGATCTGAACTTTGCTCTTTCCTCTCTTTTCACATGTGATCCAAGTGTCTGTGCTGTGACCTGCCACTTGTAAGAGTTCTCTGTTCAAGGGTCCCCCACCCTCCCTCAGATGAGCTGTTGGTCACCCAAAGGACAGCCTGAAATGAGCTTTATTTTTTCCTAAACTTGATTTTGGCCCATCATTTTTTCATGATCTTGGTTGACTCGTATAAATGCAGCTTTCCACAGAGGCATTTCCGTTCAGAGGAAGCAAGAAGACAATTAAGAAATGGGGTTACTCATGATAGCTGGAGCCTCCCATAAATTCCCACACGTTTTCTTCCCTTATTGCACTGCTTATTCTTAGTTCTTTCTCATAAGAAAGTTATTGGAGCTCTAAAGGTGTGATGAGTCCTTAATCCCAGTGCTTAGTGCTGGAGTCACTAGGAAGAGCTGGAATGCTGGCAGGTGGTTACTCATGGGGTGGGGGGAATGGGTGGAGGATTTGTCCTGTGACGGGGGTGCAGTACATACCAAGGTAGTATGCCTTTGTGCTTTGGGTGTTGTCAAGGCTGGTCAGAGTTGGTGTTATAGCAGTGAGACTGTTTTTAATAACTGCAGCAATAGCTGGTGCATTGCACCAGCTCTTGATAAATGTAAATATTGACACATTTATCTCTTCCTTGCTGATGGTTCCTCAGAGCTTAGGTTTTGTTCCAGGAAACTTGTATTTTATGGTGTATTATTATTAGATAGGTATTTGAAAAATACTTGTCTATGCACACTGGATGTGTGCAAACATGTATTTTTATCTGTTGACCTTGATGCAGGCAGGCAGTTTGACATTAAAGTTGGAAACTTTTATTTACGTTAGGAAACAGAAAGGAAAAGTGCAATGGATCTGTCTTGTGGATTGGACGGTAAGACTTTGTTCTGTACATTCAAAGTCTTAATGTATTTTTTTTTTTTAGATCAGTATACATTTATTTGAAAACTGTTTAGGATAGTTGCTGTGTTAGGGCAGAAACCCTCTTCAGTCCTCTTCCACTACTGTCTAAAACTAAGGTACAAACTGGAGGCAAAAGCACAGTAGAGACTGTCCCATGACTTAAGTACCATTTGGCCTGTAACAGATGTAGGCTATACCTTCTCTCTTAAATAATTTGATGAATTAATTTACATTTCTGAAGTCATCAGCAGATGTGAAAATTATCTATACTGAAGAGCATTGCTGCTGCAACCTTTGACTTAGCATGGTGGAGGTTGTTATGGGAGGGATGAAAAGCACTGAAGCACATGACTCTTGTTTTCCTCTTTGTAGTCCCCTGCTGATCGCTCTCAGAAGATTCATGCTGGTGATGAAGTGATCCAGGTTAATCGGCAAACTGTGGTTAGTAACTAACAGTGTTACGAACCTTCCCATATCCTTGCTCTGCAAGGCTTGCTCCCCAAAGGTGCTGAGGGGATGGGGTCAGGAGGCGGTTCTGGTGTTTTCCTTATGAAATATCTGAGGCTTTTTAATGTTTTGTTTTCCAGACAGATTTTATTCTTTGGAATATTTTGATAAAGTAAATATGCAATATTTCATGTTTAAATGCTGTATGCATCATATTAAAATATTTCATGTTGTATTTAAGACCAGTTTTAAAATGCTTTCTTAGAGTCTGCTGAAATGCAGATAAAACCAGCTTAAAAAAACTCCCAATCATTGCAAATGAATGTCAAATCATTTGCATCTGGGAACTTGGATATAACGATTGCATTTTTGCTTTGCACAGGTAAGCAATGCCTTTCAATGGGAGAAAGAAATATGGCAAAAGTAGTTCACTGTGAATCCCTGTGTTAGTCAATTTGAGCACATCATGCATCCTTCTAGGACCAGAACTGAGGTATAAAGAGCATTGCTTGATACCTCAGTTTAGTTTACAGCTTAAGTAAAGAACTTTCTTGGAAACAAAAATGAAGAACCATGCAAAAAAGAAGCTTTCCATTTTTTTTCTTAATTCTGACTCTTTTTGATCTCTTATATCTCTTCTAGGTTCATATTAAAACAGTTTGGGTTTTTCTTGTTTGTTTGCTTTCAGAAAAGAAATGCCAAATAAAAGATGTCTTTATTCTCTTCCAGGTTGGATGGCAACTAAAAAATCTGGTGGCAAAGTTGAGAGAGAATCCTGCTGGAGTTAGGCTGCTGCTTAAAAAACGTCCTACTGGCTCTTTCCATTTTACTCCTGCTCCATTAAAGAACCTGCGCTGGAAACCACCCTTGGTGCAGGTGAGAGGCTGCCAGCTCCACTCTGATCTCAGGATGAGAATGCCTTGGTTGCAGATCGAAAAAGAGAAATCCCAGAAATGCTCCCAGGTACTCAAGTTTAACTACAGATCAAGGAAGGTTAGGTGAAATCGCTGTCCTTTTCTGGTTCCTAGATTAAAGGAAAATGTTCTTGCCTTTTTCTTTTCCTCTCTTTTCCTTAAAAACAGGTAATGCCCTCTTGGTACACAAACAGACTAGGTGTGCTGAACATTTTTATCAGTCTACATGTCACTGGGAGAACTTATCTGAGGGGAAACTGCTGAAACTGATTATATGTATGGAATTCATCAGCATGGAGCAATAAAGGCTTTCTCTATTTAGCACAGTAATATGTTTTTGCTGAAATAACTTAGATTATTCCATATATTCGTCCTCTTTTTAGTCTGCTGAAGGATGGGAGTGTTTTTCAAGAAGTCATTTAAACTACTTGTTTAAATAAGATTAGGTTGTTGGGCGATTCCCAAATTGGCTACTGAGCATACAAAGAAAGTGTGTTAATAATTATTAAATAACCATGTTGAGGGATGGCTTGTTGCATTAGGAAACTTAAGGCTTAATGCTTACAGAAGGAAACAACCGAACTGAATTTAAAGTGATTACGTGAAATGAATAAAATCAGGGAGAGTTCCCATTCATACCCCTGTTGCGATACAGGTCTCCCTACAGCTGTGAGGGTAATTTATCAACCTATGAAATGCCAGTGGCTATGGCAAGTCTTGATGAAGGCAGATTTCTCTCAAACTGGGTAGAAGATGCGTACTTGACTACTTTTCTCATCCTTCCTTTCACCAATGCCTGTGTCTTGTTTTTGTGGCATCATGCCTGACATGTACTACCAGTGTGAGGAGCTGAGGTGGGCTCGCATATAGGCTATACCAAGCAATGTTTCCTTAGGGGAATGAGTGATTGGAGAAGCCTGTTGGCCGTTCTGGGGTTCTGCACACTGACCGGTAAAAGGCGGGTGCTTGTGCAGGGGTGCTGTTAACTAAGTGGACAGAGTGAAAGCCTGGACATGTCCTTACAGAAAAGGGAGAGTGCAGTTCTCTTGCCTGACAAAGGTGAAAGGGTCTTTGAACCCTTTTCTCTCCTGGAGACAGGAGCCTGGCAAGATACTGAGAAATATAGAAGTGAGCCACAAAGATGAGCAATGCCAAATCTATTTTTTCTTTGCTTCCCTGACTGTAGTTATATCTGTTAATCCAATTTATGGTGAACTTTACCATATTCCTGTTTATGCCCCAGGGTTTGGACTGTATGGAATAAAGGTAGCGTGGGCTGGCTTTGTATAGTTTGCCAATCATCTGTTTTTTTAACAAATTATGTTCTTTTAATGCATTTAAAAATAGAAGAAGGGTTTTTGTCTCAGTTGCTTTTTTTGGAATTTACAGGAAAAATAGAACTGGAAAGAGCAAAATATTCCTGAGCAGTGGATTACCCATGATAGGACTTCTGTAGGAGGGACTGCAAAGCTATCCAAAACTGAGGGTGGAGGAAAATGTAACTTCTAAGAGTTTTTAATGTGTTCATACAGCATGGAGATAATAGTTCACTAGGGGATGAAAATGGTACTATTGATTATTAAATTGTCTTTTTGCGAATGATAAATAAATGCTCAGATGTCTGATAGCTGTCTAACATTTCAGACCAGTCCTCCACCAACTTCAACTCAGACACCAGAAAGCACCGTGGATACCTCACTGAAGAAAGAGAAGCCAGCCATTTTGGATCTGTACATACCCCCTCCACCAGCTGTTCCGTATTCTCCTCGGTATGCAAGTCAACATGCACCACTGAACAAAAAACTCCTTCATTATACTTGTTTCTGAGCTGGCTTGCTGTTACAACTCTGTGCAGATTAGCTTGACGAAACCGTACATCTCAGACTTTCTTCTAGTTGCCTGAATGAATCGTATTGCTTAAACTTATGCTTACGTGCATACCCTACCAGGATTGTAATAGGTTTTATTGCTAGAAGATTGTTGTGTGCCACATAGGTCAGAGTCGTTCGCAAAACATGCACGGGTGTCACCTCAGGTTCTGTTTAAATCCAATGCAGCAAGAAGTAAATTTTGTCTGTAACTTTTCTCACTGTTGAATTTTTTTTCTAGCAGGTTAAGTAACTGTTGTGGGAGTTAGGATAGAAAAGAATGTCATGTTAAGACGCGTATAACATTAAACAACTTACAAGTTGTTTAAAACAGGAATGTTCCCACTGAAAGGAAGGGAGAGTCAATACATCAACTTTTATTTTTTTTATGCTGTGGTGTAAGCTATAAAAGTGCAGACCTGTGTACCCAGCAGGCGGGGGGTGGTGCATATGGTAAGGCTAACTGTTGTTTGTTCTCAAGTCCATGTTGACTCATGCCAGAACCCTGCCAGCTGATCTTGGAAGGGGATGGAAAAAAAAGTTTTCAGGGAAGACATGAAAGGCAGGCATGCTGTCTGGCCTGCGCCAACACTTTAGGTTACGTGTAGATAGCCCAGCACAGGAACTCTGACCTTTTGCTGCAGGACTTATGGGAGGGCACTTGCCTCCTGTCACGTAAGGGCTGTGACAGAGACAGAGGTTCCATTACTGCACTCTTTGGGACAGGACTGGGAGGAGAGTTTCTCCAAGGTAGGGTCTCTACTGAAGTTGGATGCACCTTGACATGCTCTCTCCCTGATTTTATGGTTACACATGTTCAGTTCTTTTAAAAAAACCCAAAGCCTCAAATCTTTTGGCATAATAACAAGCATATAGATTTAGCAGATGAATGTCTTAGTTTTTTCGTTAAATTTCAAGCACATTGGTGAGTTACATGCATGTGCTCAATTTGTTTATCTTTCCTAAAGAGGCACAAAATTATATTGAGCTTCAGATGCCTTTAGAGCTGAATCTCTGTTGACAAGGAAGGAAATAATAGTGAGAGCTGTAAAACTTATCCTGGATGATGTGTGGAAAGGGGGCTTAACTTTGACTTTTAAAGAAGGCAAATGTGGGAAGTTGTGGCAGGCAGGAAGAGGAGAAAGGGCAATTCTTTTGCTTTCTGTTTGGCTATTTATTTTGACCTCTGCATGTTTTGATTTTTTTTCTTGAAACAGTGGTGCATTTGTGTGGTTGCTTTCCCCATCTCCTCCCCTCACCATCATCCTGTTCCCTTCCCTTCCTGGTGTGGATCTTCTCTGGTCTATGCTGAGAAGCAGAGAGCAGTGTTTGGTTTCCCTCCCTATGGCACAGTCTCCACATGGTGGTGGTGTAGGAGAGCTCTCCATAGACATACAGTTGTGGTGTAATATTTGAGTCCAATTTGCGGTCTCTGAATTTTTATAAATAGCTCCTTCCCATTAGTGGAGGGCTGGAAAAGTGGTATGTGCTGGCTGGAGGCTGCTGTGTATACTGGGGTATATATGTGCTTAGGCAGTCAGCTATGTACTTTGATGCCTGGCTGGGCTAATGGTTGCTTCAAGCAATAGGATTGTAGCATGTACAGGGAAAGGAAAAAAAACCAACAAAATCAGGCAAATCTTAAGTTGGAGGGTAGCTTCTCTTCCAAAAGTACTGGCAGGGACAGGTTCTAAAAATTACTGTTCCTGGCCTTGGGAATGAGAGATTGCTCTGGGAAGGGAGTTCCTGCAGAATTTAATCAAAATCATATATGCGTATATATGTATGTATGTGTGTAGGTATATATATACACATGCATATGTATATATGTGTATATATATATTTATATACACTATGAATCTATTATTGGAACTCTCAAGGAGGGAGAGAAAGTGGTAAATATTCAGTGACAGTTATTGGACTCCTACAGTGACTGAAAAGCATAGTCCCTCAGAGGTGTTGCCATGACACACAGATGGATAAATTTGTGTAGCACTCCAGATTCGCAGCTGCATACTGAGCAGGCAGCAAATCAGGGGCTTTGATGTCCTCAGGTCAGAAAGATCTCATTTATCAAAATCTTTTGCAGGAGTGGAACTTCTAAACTTCTCTGTGTGTTAAATTCCTGGCTCGTTAATGGTGAATATGGCATAAGGCAGGTAGCTTTCTCTTCTCCTTGGTAAATATAATAAGGTCTTCCATCACCTGACTTGTTTGTTTTTTTTTTTTCAGCTTGTTTACAGCACAGTGCCAGTTGTCATGAGCATGACTGGGTGCTAGAAGTGTGTTTCAAACCTAGTCATGTCTGTAGTGTTAAACTCTTAAGTTACTAACTGAGGTGACATGTCCTTTCAGAGATGAAAAGGGGAGTTTTGTGTATGGAGGAGGCAACAAACACAGTCAACCATTACCTGGGTCCAAGGGGGCCGAGTCTCCCAATTCTTTCCTGGATCAGGAGAGTCGAAGACGAAGGTTTACTATTGCTGATTCAGATCAGTTACCCGGGTATCCTCTGGAAGTAAATATCCTACCAGCCAAGATGAGGGAAAAAACACAGTCCTATGGTGAGTTTATTCCTCTCTCATTATCACTGTTATGATAAGTGCTGTTATGATAAGGTCAGTTTGAAGTGATTTGTGTTAGAAAACTGTTCATTAGACTTGGTGGGTGGGCCTTCTCTGCAAATTGTAATTGAAATTCTACATCTGAAATAATTTCACTTAAATGCTGTTATTTCTGTAATGAGTGTCATTCAGCTGGGCTCTGCTGCTACAGATGGCCATTTTCATGTGTGTTTTGGTTATAACATTATGTTCACTTCTGTAAATGAGCAAGTGTGTTCAATCAAAGCTGTTCAATCTCAGCACATTGATCTCTTATTATTGATACCACCAGTGGAAGTATCTTCAAATATTTTTTTCTGCAATTTGAACTCCTTAATGCTGTATCTCTCCCTTTGTTTAATTGTGAAAAGTATCAATTTAAAGATTTTTCCTTAACCTTTTGTAATTCCTCATAACCTTCTTTGTTGCCTCTAGGAAAACCTCGTCCATTGTCAATGCCTGCTGATGGAAGTTGGATAGGAGCTGCGGAACGCTTCTCTAGGCCACGAGGATTAGGGAGAAAAGGCAAGGTTTTAGGTGTCATCCCTCCTTCTCTTCCCTTCCTCTCCAAAATTTCCTTGGGGTGAACTGCATGAAAGTGTTTAAATTAGGAATGGAGGACTATGGTTTGCATATTGCTGAGCTGATCCAAAGTGATAGTTGTTGGTTTTAGCAGGAATGCCAGATGGTAGTTGTGAAAGTTGTGAGGCTATTCAGTGCTGGGACTCAAACTTTTTCCTGTCTTGGAATTCTTGTGAGCGTTAAAAGTAAGCTAGAATGACTAGAGCAGATCTGTACTTGTCTCTTTATACACAAGTATTGTTCTTACACAAATCTCTTTCCCTTTCTTCTGCATTTAATATTGATTGTAAAACTACTTTTTTAATAAGTCTTTTTGTTTCTTTACCTCACTGTGGAGGCTGTTGTACAAGCAAGCTTGTTCTCTAAATGTAAAATGTAGGGCCTTTTAGAAGTTGCTTTTTACTGTGACTCCTGTTAGAAAATAGCATATTCTGCAGACATCACTGAATGGGAGAGACAGAAGCTCATAACATTGGGTGTTAGGTTGGGTGGCTTTTTTTTACTTGCTACACTGTCCTTCTCTTCCCATCCCCTTTTGCATCTGAAGGAGTATTTGAGTACTGTTAGAGTGGGAAATAAGGATGAGTAGTTTATTCTTGAAATGAGTTATGAAAGCTAATGTGTAATTCTGCATAAAATAGATGCTGAATTCTATTATGCAAAAATAGAAGTCCATAAGCAGTATAAACCTGGAGGGATATTAGAAGCAAGCTAAGTAACAAGTCTAACAGAGCAATCACCAGGTGGCAGGTCCAGAGTAATATTTGTAGCTTTTAAGTTACTTATGAGTTACATTGAGAAAAATATGGACTCAACTCTGGTCTCTTCAGCATTTTGAATAACATGTTACAAGATGGTTTGCTAGGTCTCACCCATGATAATGATTTGCAGAAGTGCTAGTCTGCACCAGCATTTTTGGTGTGTGTGAATCTGGAATTAACTAGTCAAATGGTATCTTCTCTGTGTATGGATTTATTTTCTTGTTATTCGTGTTACTTAAAAAAAATATTAAAGAAGCAAGCAGCTATGAATCTATTGATAGCTGCTTATGTCGAGGTGGATTATGAAAAATAACCAAAATCTAGGGAATTTGAAGTGTAACCAGAATATTTTTTGTAAAAATAGAAAGTGTTAATGGAGGGGTTTGAAGTCATCAATGATTGGTTTTCCTCCTCCTGTTTGTACAGGTGAAGATGTCCTCTGCAGGTACTTCAGTAATGAAAGGATACCCCCAATCATTGAAGAAAGCCCTTCCACGCAGCACCCCCTCTCCAGGCCAGTGTCTGACAAGCAGCTAGTGAAGGGAACAGATTATATTCGAGGCAGCAGGTGTTTTATGAATACAGACCTCCACAACAGTGCAACAATTCCTTTTCAAGAGGAAGGTGCTAAAAAGTCATCGGTTACATCATCCACAAAACACTCCTCTGCAGAACCCTCGCTGCTGGTCAGTTGGATCACAAGACTGAAATTGTTGACTCACTGACTATTGTCCACAGTGCTCTTACCAAGTGCCTTTGCTCATCGATCAGACTTCTCTACTTTTCAGCTTAACTGACGCATAATGCGGTATTCTTTTCCTGGAGAACCTTATATTTTTGCCTTTTTGTGATTTTTGACAGATCAGAGGGTGTCATAGTGCAAGGAGGGAAAAAAGATAAAGATCAAGTTCCTCTTCCTGGCCAAAAGCTGAAGTCATTTATTCCCATGGAAATAAGTAGAATTCAGTGAGATAGAGGCCACACATGACCTGGAATGTGCATAGTGACTCAGAGGAAAGAATTGTGTTACCGTGAAGTCCAGTGGCACTTCAGTTGTCTGAATGCTCAGAGACTGGTGTGACTGGCTGGTTGTCAGAGTATGCAGAGCTCAGCACAAGTTGCGTTACTCTCCTGACCAGGAAAGATAAGCAAAGAAACAATGGTTTTATACAACTTAGTGATGCTGTTGCAAATACTGCGTGAGATCAACCTTGTGAGGAAGAAGTAATAGTGTTGCTATTCTTTCTCTGATACCAGAGATTCTATGAAGGCTTAGGAAGAGAGTTCTCTCATTCAGAGATTTTAGGAAATTGAACTAATTTAATTATAAATCAATCCAACCTGATATATAAACTATTTTATTGAAATCACAGTAGAAATAAAGAGCACTGAACAACTGAAGTGCTTGTCTGTAAAGGTATATGGATTGCTACAACATGCCAAGGAAATGCATCTGTAGAGGTGGTAAAAGAATATACATTTTTTCCTTAATTGTTTAAGAATGATTTGCTGTTAACCAAAGTAACCTTTTAAAGACAGTCCTGTTGGACTTATGAGAACTTTTACAATGGTTCAGTTTTTGAATGATGTGTTGTTTTTATGAAAAATATGTGCTATCATACACTACAATTGTAAGACATTTGCTATTTTCTATATAGCTCAAATCTTTACCCCTCCAGAATTTTGAAATAGCATTGGGTATTTTGGGAGGAAAATAAAACTTGTTTAACTAAAGAGGAGGATATTAAAGAGGTATTGTTCAAAACAGAATGTACATAGGACTGCTAATATGCAAACTTAAAAAAAGTTTAAAGTAATTTAAGTGTTAAATATAGTTGTATATATTTTTTACACTTAAACAGATACTGTTTGTACCTTCCTGTATTGCAGTACTGGGCACAGCTTAGTCAAATGAAAGGTTTTTGCGTTCCTTGCTAATTATAAGACTAACTATTTTTGTAGATGATACATTGCCAAGAGCCTTTACTCCTTTGGTCTTGCTGAAAAGAAGGATTTGTATTTAATAATTGGTGGGTAAAGACGGGAGTTAAATACTAGTTTTCACTTTGGACTGGGGCAGGAATCACATGTGATAACATGAGTGTTAAAAACACTATAATTCTGGCTGTGAACATGTGACCATTCTGTTGCAATAAGCTTATGAGGTTGTGCTACAGCCCCGCAGAGAGAGACAGGGTGTTTCAGTTCTCAATTAAATATGTTTGATTGTGAGTGGTGATTTAGGTGGGGGCTGGTTTGGACCTTTCTGATCAAAGCAGATTATAACTTGTCCATTTTGTGGACTCTTCTCCACTGCCTGAGATGGCAGTCTGTACTAGAGATGTGACCAAACACTGCTGCAATGCAGTTGAACCCTAGAACGGTTTGGTTCTGCCTCCAAGAAGAGGGCTGAAACTGCCATGTTGTGGGCACTGTGATGTAGTATAGTCCAACCTCAAATTGACTGAACTGTTTTAAAGTAAATCAGAGTTACTGAACTAGATCAAAGATGTTGTCTAAACAAGACTTTTAAAATGGAAATTTTGCTCATCTCCAATGTCCTGTTTTCCACAGTTTAAGAGTGCTCTATAGTTTAGGGGTAAAAAAAAGTCCCACAGATCTAGGAATAAATCACAGTCAATATCTTTCTGGCATAACCTGAGAAAAATGTAGGTAACAAGTTAGAAACTGCTATTATGCAGAAACCTGGCTTATTTCTTGGTATCAAAGGTACATGTATCTGTTCTATCAAAAACTATGCCGAGGCTGACTTCCCTAATTAGTGCAACATACATATCCAGATATCCTGCCATGGTACAGCACTCCACAGTACTCTGAATACTCTGTCACAGCGGCAAAACAACACAGTTAAATGGAAAAGATCATAAACCCCATGAAAATGGAAAAGAATATTTAGTATTCCTGCATATATGTATAGTGAGGAAGGTGTATTTCACAAATAGAGAGCAGGCTTCTGTTTTAGTCTGTAGAATATTTGCAAGGCAGTACCTTGAGTGTTCCCTTACATAACTGTTGCAAGAAAATACTATTTTAGATAGTAATGTGCAAGAGGAAATAAGACATAAATATGAATATTAATGGCTTGTAGAGACAGAGTTCAGGGCAATTCTTCAAGCAATATGTTTCCTCTATTATTATGGATAATTAAATTAATCAGTGTTTGAATTCTGGATGGCCAAAAGAGGTGGACAGACTACTGTATTATACTAATTTTATGCTAATCAACTAACTGATAACCTTTTCTTCCTCATAAGCAGGGCTTGTTTTAAAAACGGCGTATTCCATAAGCTGGGTGCTCATCGAACAGAAAGAGAGGAAAAAATAAAAATCTAAAACTTAGCCAAATGAGGAAACAGATGATGAAGACTAATTTTATAGTTGGAGAGAATAAAGAATTTTCTTCTTGCGTATTTTGTCCAAATCTTATGTTCTGTTTTATTACCTTGCCAGCAGACAGCCTTCACAAACTGCTCTATACCTGCAGCCACATCCTGAATAGACCAAGTTAAACCCCTCATCAGGCTTTAACTTAGACCTTGAGCTCAAACCTTTTTTTACTTCCCTGGGAGGTTTTGCTTCCCTAGGAGTTTTTCTGCATTCATCAGTCAATTTTGGGAATATCTTACACATGATGGACAGCAAGGCTCTTGTGTGCATGCATATTCAGAAATGCCTTTGCCAACAGGATTGGTATCTTGAAGGAAGGTGTTTGTTGTTTGTGTTGCGTGTGTTTTCTGCGCTGAAATAAGTACTACTTCTCCCAGCTTCCACTCTACATCCTAGTGCACCACCTCAGAGTGTGAGTTAGAAATACTCATGTACAATTGGAAAGAAATGTTAGGTCCTTTGGAGTACTCTGACTTTGTCCTGCTGTACAGCTGTAGCTTCTTTTTTCTCTGTAGCCTGAGTTTTTCTTTGCACATGCTGCGGTGATGGAGCATGTGCTCTTTGAGGCAATCACATATTGTCACCTTGCAGAATGTAAGGTTTTTATAATGGACAAGAGCTCTCAAGAAAGCCATTGACTTACACTAAAATATAGAAGGAGCACTCCAAAAGGACTCAGCTTGTAGAATGAAGAAAGAGGGACCAGGCTAAGCTACATGTATTAGTCTGTGTTGTGTTGAACGCTGTTTCAGCTGCATGGCAGTAACTCTCAAAGAAAGCAACTCACACAAGTACAGTATGCATGTACTTCTACTGCTACATTTGTATGATGCTAGAATATGAAACAGTCATTCAAAGTAGTTATGTATAGTTCCACACATGGTACTTGAGCTGTAATATGTATAACAAAAGCAGTCAAGAGCTGCTGTCAATATGTAATTTCACCAAATTCTACTGCCCACGCTGCTGCTGCTGCTGCATCAGTTTAAAATAGTATACCCTCTTTATCCTGTTGCCTGCACGATGCAGACCCAGCTCTCTGGCAAGTCCCTAAACATCAGTTTTGTCTTCTTTTGTGATAGTGACTGCTGGTGAGATTGTGTCATTCCCACGGGGCCTCATGCAGTGATCCAAAAGCTTAGTTTGGATTTTTCTGGACTTAGTCCAAAAGTGGAAGGTCAAATTTAAAAACAATATTACTGAACCAGTATTACTTCGAGTTGGGATTTCTTTTTTATACATACTAAATACGAAACAGGGAGGAGCTGTCTGTTGCCAGAAGGAGGAAAAATAAGGATTACATATTCAGTGGAGAAAAAAACTCCAGATCTTTGGGTGTCCTCCAGTTCTTGCCAGTGTGAGAAATGTGTTTGTTTTAGTGTGACATAGAATAGATGTAAACATTTCTTTTTAAACCTCCCTGTGTGGCCAACAACCTCAGTTGTTCAGGATAATGTAAGCCACTGACTTTCTCCCTTAAGTGGTTATAGAGTTGGCCCAATATGTTTTTTTGGGAGAGGACAAAGATACCTTTTCTTAGGCAAATACATGATTGATTAACTGGATGTGGAGACAGAGGAATTCAGCATAAAACTAGTGCTGGAGAGTGCTGATTTATTGGGAGAATCCTTGGGATCAGTTTAAGACTGTGGTTCCTGTTTGTTCCCTGGGCTCTGGTGAGGATGCACGGTTCACTATGCATCTATGCAGGGTTACAGTTTGGCAGCTAGGCAGCAGCCAAGGAATCAGAAGACAGCCCAGTCCAATTTACTATGCCATCTTCAGCAAGGTGGGTTAGTTGTTTGGGCTTCTTTGGTTTTGATTTTTTGGTTGGTTGCTTGTTTCCCTTCCCCTGTCTCCATAAGTGTAGCCCTCCTTCAGTAAAAATGGGCCAAAGTAGGAACTTTTGAAATGTACCTGTGGAGCAAACACAACAAGATCCTGATGAAGCAGTGGGCTGTGCTTACTGATGAGGCCAAGCTGCCATGTGTTTAGATGTGCTCTGGGAATGCCTTTGCAGGTTATGAGCCTCAGACCTTGTGACTTTTGCTCAGAGACTTTTTTGTTCAGGCAATATTTACTGAGAGGCATAGAAAATGCCACAGTCTAAACTGATATATGTATTTAATGTTCTTTCCCCAAGTAATCACGTATCTCAATGTTACCTAATAATGGGTTTTCCTCTTCTATCCCCCATTAGCTGTTTTCAGTACAAATGTTTCTCAGGAAATCCTCCCATATTTCCAGGGTAAATGTTAGTAATTCCAAGTAGTCACAAATAGACCATAATATTTTAAACTGTAAAAAAACCAAACAAACCAAAACAAACAAAACCAAAACACAAGAAGAAACATTTTTTCTACTTTGTGAATAACAACTTTATTAATAATAATGAAACTAAGGATTTTTACTCAGGTGAAAGATCAGCCAAACTTTAGTGGCTGCATCTTGGGTGATTTGTTTGATTTTATTACATGATAGTAGGAAGTGAGGTCTGTTGTTCAGGTATTGTAGATTCTTGCAGAGCAACTGTGGTGTTTAAATGTGTCTCCACAGAACCTGACTAAAGGCTTTCTTAGGTGTAATGCAGCTTCTCATAAGACTGTCTTCCCCAACCCCACTGAATGTCCCATTGAATATGCAGAAGTCTTAATATCATGACATAGTTCTTGACCATTTGTTTCTGGTGGGAAGTTGATGTAAGTTGCTATAAGTGAGTAGGATGAGAAGAAAATACATGATGTCCAAAATTAATTATTTCCCTTTCTGTATGTCCTTCTTCCTCTTTGACATTCTCTTGCTTACACTAAGGCCAAGAGACTTTCCAGGAATTTATTGCACAAACAAACAGCTATAAATCCTTTTAATATTTATAGCATAATCTAGTTTGTTTTGATGTCTGAGATAGTTTTGGCCAGAGCTTTCCAGTAAAAATAGCACTGCGCACAAGACAGTATTTCCAAGCTCTTGATTCTTTTAGGAATTCCTCTCTGCTTAGTAAACTGTTGGCTTATGCTCTGCTTTGAAGCTGCTTAGACCACCCCAAGCAGTCCTTGGCCTTTTAGGTCCAAACACATTGGCTTCTTATCGCTGGACAGGAAGAAAGGTCTGTGTTTTTTCCTTGCTTGGAGTTTTTTAACTCTGGATTTGCAGGTCACATTGGAGAGATGGATGCAGACCTACCACAGAGGTCTCCTGTCTTTCCCTGCCTGCCCTCTCCTGCTGTCTGTGCAGTGGCTAGGCAGGATGGAGGGACAAGAAGGCAAGGAGGAATCCAGAAACTAAAGCAGCAGCCCCTCTCTTCCCTTCCTCCTGCTTAGGAGATGAGCGGCAGGCCTCTGATTCACCTCTCAAAACACGTTTAGAAAGGTTTTGATTTTGGTTACAGAGGAGATGAGTAATTGTTCAGGTATGTTTTTAGAAGTAATAAAGATGGGAAGTATGAATGCTTAGGATCAAGTGGACCTAATTGTTTCCCGCGGGATGCTGCTGCATGGGGCTGGGCATTAACCCTTGAAGCAGTAGGCTCCATGGCACCCTCTCCTGCTGTCACTTGGGTGGCTCTGTAGCTTTCTTTCAGGGATGGGCTGGATTTTTACTGACAGCTTTCTGCTGCCTTGTAGTCAAGTATGGGATTTCCTTCCTCCCCCACTGTGGCTTTTTTTGTGAGCTGGGAGCCAGGTGAGACTCTCTTCCCATTAGCAGGGAGAGAGGAGAGCCTGGTGTGGTGTATTGCCTCATACACCTGGTTCTCATTTCTTGTGGGCGATAAACTGTACTTGATTGCTGTGGCTGTGGTCCCAATGAGTTGTAGGTCAGAACTAGCTTAAGGGTATACTTGAATAGCAAATGAATCTGGGACTGGAAAACTAAAAAAAAAAAACAACAAACAGAAACAACCCCACCAGAATAAAAGGCTAATGTGACAAGATACATGAATTGTTCTTTGCTTTGCAAAGTTTGTTTTCCTCTGGAAGTGTGAGAACATTGTGTAGGGATGAATGTGTTGCACAGTGTTAATGCAGAGGTAATGTGAGGGAGCTGTTGTTTAAAAACCAAAAAGGCTTGGCAGCACGTGAGTTCCAGGTATGGCACAGACAAGTTTCACCTGGTGCTGCACAGAGGCTTTTATTAAAGCAAAGTGGACCAGTAAGCTGGGCCTATCTGAGACAGGCAGTGAGGCAGACGCCCCAAGGTGCTCACTCACTGGTGAATCTGGCCACAAGAAATGTGTTTGACCTGCTACTGCCTGAGGCTGGCTGCTGTCCTTGGAATGGATGTGGTCTCTATGTGGGAAATAAGGCCTCTAGCAGAATGTAGAAGAGGCTCAGGTTTCGGTATCATGACTCATTTTCCCAGGGGTTGACCAAAGAGCAGGGGGCGTGATGGGGAGCTGTCATGAGATGTACTCCTGTTGCTATTAAGAAATGGCAGGGATTGAAAACATATATCACCAGAAATTTGAAGTTCAGAAAACCTGGACCACCCATGGTAGCCAAAGCACATGACATCTCCCATGGGTCACTCCTGCAAATGGGAATTTTTGATCTAGTTTGCAATGAAATATTTGATGTTTTCAAAATGTAGAAGATTTCGGGCACCGTCTGGTCTCACTCAGTGTTTACTGCTCACATAGCTGGCTGTGAGAGGAGACATATTGGCAAGGGTGGCCAACTCTGGTAGTGTTGACTCAGGGCAGGAGCTGTGAGGTGAGAGCTGACTAGTTTGATACAAGCTTTTCAGGTTGGATGTGTGTAACATATCTACATCTTAACAGGAAGTGGAAGTCAGTGATAAAATCACAAAAAACATACAAAAACCATTAGCAGAAGAAGAGATGCTGCCAAAACATGGTTTTCTGTTGCTTTCCAGTACTCTTGCCTAGATTGCACCTCTAAGACAAAGTCCCAGGTGGTGCCCTAATGAAAAGTGGCACACTGGGTAACCCCCTTTGTTGTTCAAAGCACCAGGCCAAGCAATGTTTCTGTTAATTTTCCTATAGGTCTTGAGTGACTTCCAGTGACAACCAGACAATTCAGTCTGTTGCCACCTTTTCCTTTTGCTCAAGGTGCCCTTGCTGAGCACCTTAGAGCAGTTTCTGCATTGTCACACTTGTGTGCCTGCAGAAGGCAATGTTGTGTTCAACATGCTTGTGCTGCTTTTATACTTGAGGATAAATAAACATTTCTTCTGCTAACTTAACAGGGCTTGTCTGTCCAGAGGTTCTGTACAATGCAGCACTAAGTCTGATCCTTCTTTCTATTTTTTGTGTCAAATCTGATTAGTTTATTATGAGCTGTTTCTGATTTATGACTGAAGGGGTGAAATGAAAATAGGATCTTGTTGATGAAGAGGACTCAAGTGAACGTTTGAACAAATGAGTAAAGGCCAAGGAAATTAGAGAAGTAAAACCAGGCACTAATTCTTTATCTTTGAGCAGTGTTAAACATAAAATACACCAAGTAAATGTGTATGTATTTTGCATTTGTGTGAGTTTTTTATCTCAGCCTACTCTCTGGAAACTCTTAAGATTATTCTCCTACAAGTTTCCAGCTGCAGGTAACTGTGGGACACTTATGATGAAGCTGCTCCTTATTGTGCTGTTGTATTCTGGAGGAGCAGACTTCTTGCAACATCTGGCTTTTCTGTTCCTTCCTAGCCCTCCCACTCTAAAACCAGTGCACATCAAGTCAGGTGGCTTTCAAAATTATGAGCTCGTCACTAGATCCTCTTTTCATTGTCCTGTTTGGTGCAACTTTTGAGAACAATATAAAATGGATTTTTGAAGTCTGCAGATGCTGCAGTACATAAGCAGTGGGAGATGTAACTATCTACAGGTTTGAGAACTGGAGCCATTGTAAGGTAACAGATACACTGCTTTATTTAAGATGAAAAGTTGTTCTTCCAATAGAAATTGGGTTATGTTCTTGGACTATTAAATACACATTTGATTCAGAAATGCACAAAGCACCATTTGTGCGCCACTTAGTAAAGTTCACGTGGAAAAGCTGAATCATCCAAGCCATCTGAATGATGCACACTATTCAGCAGGCAGCTGGTGATCTCTCTTCCTGTAGTCGGGGCTTGGGTGGGGGAGGAAAAGGAAGACAGGAGTCTCTGTGGGGGGAGACCTATTGGTTCATATGTGCAAACTTTATGATTTTCCTGAGAGATCTCTAAATTTGTGGTAAGTTAAAACTATATTTAGAGAATTGAAGAGGCAATATATGTTGCAATTGTGTTATAAAGTGTTTTATTTTAAAGTAATAATACTTTACACATTTTTTAAACATGCTTGCCTGTTATATTTGAAGCAGTGCTTCATGGGGAAGACATGGGAGTTGTGCTAGGGCTGGGTATCGTTCAGACTGGATGGCTTCTTTGCCTTCTGCTCCCCTCTTGAAATCAGGAGGTGAACTGTGAGATTTGGTGCCTCAGTCACCAGCCAAAAAATGGTAACTCAATTTATCTCTCGTGCTACCCCTGTTGTAAACTTCTTAATACTCAATTTACGTTTACCTACTGAAGCTCAATGGTAGTGAAGGGCTGTTTAATGCTGGAAAAACTCTCAACTAATGAGCTGGGAGTCTGTCTGAGACAGACAGGTGACAGAGCTTGAGGGGGGAACAATAGTTTTGCAGACACCCCCACACATAATCCCTGCAGCTACATCTTTAGTTTTCCACATATAGGATGTATCTATTTTTCTGTGGGATATTTTCTTTATATTGACACTGGTGAAGAAGTGGTTTTTTTATGATCTATCCCTTTATAACAGTCTGTCTTACCTATTTAGATTATAAGAAAAATTTTTTTGTAGCAAGCCACGTCTTGCAGATGTAACTTCCTGAGCTGCTGGGTCAGGGACTTAATTGGCCTCTATTGTATTTCATAGTACAGTTCGAAGAGTCTAAGGAGCAGCAGAATGGAAAAAGCAATGCAGAGAGGCTTTACTCAGATCCTGTTAGCCTGACTTTTCTTTCTCTGTGTTTGTTTTTTTTTTTTTCCCCCTAAAGCTGAAGAGGAACACAACCAACAGCATTCAAATCTTCTTTTGAGTCTATACCAAACTCTGTGATTGTATGAGAAATGAACTGCCTGGGAACTGATGGCAAATTACTTGTATTTCTAACCAACACAGAACAGAGAAAAAAAAAAAGGGTCAGGGCTCTTGTTCTCAGCAGACTCTTCAAGAGAACTTCTCATTGACACTACTGGGGGGCACTTCCATTCCTTTTGGTGAGTGTCACTTTAGGACTGGCAGTGCCTGCAATAACCTGAAGTACAGGTAGTTCTAATTAGGGGGCAACAGCCCCCTTGCTTAGAAAAAATTGGCCTTTGAGGAAATATTAAATTATGTTGCATAGTCTTAAGAAAAGGTGACTGCATTGGTGTCTTAAGAACAAACATTAAAGATTTATGTAAGAAATTTATAGGACCAGTTTTTATAGGACAAGAGATAGTAGGCTTAAATTACAGCAGAGAGCTTGAATTTGCTCAAAAAAACTAGTAAAGGAGAGTTAAGCATTGGTTTAAAATACTGAAGGGAGCTGTGGAACCTCCATTATTTGATGTCTTTAAGAACAGGTTAGGCTGCCTCTGTCAAGAATAGCCTGAGTATAATTGATCCTGCTGGGAGGAGCAGACTTAGTGATCTCTTGATGTCTTTTACAACCTCATGAATTTGCAGAGATGTGAGTAGGCTGTATGTAAGTGCATCCTGGTAGAGTTCATCAAGAGCTTTCAGGCCCTTCTGAATAAAAGCCACCATACATACTTCACCATAACTGTAGTGAAGTTTTGATGTTTAAAGGAGATTGAAGCAATCAAATGAATGCATGAAAAGATTCAGTTCAGTGACACCACACAAGAAGAAAGGACAGGGAGCAGTAACATACAGAATTATTAATTTTGTGGTTTTGTAGTTATCTAGAATAAAATCATCATCTTCAATTATGATTGTCATTCCTTCAACTGAGGTACTTGCAGGACACTGGAAAAACATAGCTATTTATTTTGAAGAACTATGGATTTTTTCCCCTTAGTAAAAGGAAAGTGTTAGGGATGCCACTACACTTCTGAGTTTTTAAGGGAAAGCACTTTGATAGATCTAAAAGATAGTTTAGCCTTTAAAAATGAAAACAACAGATTTATAAAATCTGCTCTTTTATACTGCTTCCTTTGAGATGATAGAGTTGAAAGACACATTCCCACACCCTTGCCATTTCTAATATAATCCTTAATTTTTAAAAGGAAAGTAACTTGCGGACAGACAGGTTAGTTCTGTGCTTTTGGAAGTATCTTGTTTCTGTACATAAGTTCCCTGTTAAACTGCGAAGCAGAAGAGTACCCACCTTCATCTTCTTTCAATCAATGAGTGTCCCAGGGATATGAACTTTGTGGAAAGGCACACAGAGTGAATTATACTGAGAGATTAATTTCTCACACAGTGGGATTCGTCAGTGGCCAGAGTCTCCAGAAAGCAGCACCAGCTGCCCTGAATATTTTGGCATTCAAGTCTGTTGAAAGCTCCAAAGAGGAGGAAGTGAAAGAATGGTGGCAAGTCTCTTGCAAGCAGTTTTGGGGATGTGGGACTTCATTTGCACATGAGTTCGACAGCTCTCTTCAGCGAAAAGCAGGGTGGGAAGTGGGATAGACTGTGTCTCTTCTACCACTCAGAGGACTGAGCCATCTGCTTTTCCATGTCATCACGAAACAGTGTCTGGTCTGCTTCTTATCTCTTCTGTGGACTATTTATTCTTTCCATAAGTAACACATATGCTTCTTTGGACCTGTCACTAATTCAGTGCACATGTAAAGCCAGTAGTTATTTTAGGAAGCAATAGCGTCAGATTTCAAAATATATTCTTGGCAAGTTTTCAGATAATCCATTTATATGCAGTTACAGTGCTTTGAAGATATAAAGTGCCATGTTACTGATAAGTACTGATTAGTCATGCAAATAAATGGAAATATTTTAATTAGGGCATTTTCAACATGACTCGTACTGTGGAAAAGAGCCTATATAAACATATTAAATAGGTAATTTATTAGTGAGAACAACCTGTGATTAAGGGCGTTGTGTTTTAATTTTTGGGGGGAGAATAATATACATAAAAAGCAAAGTATTAATGCAAGAGAGTAGCAGCCTGATAAGCTAAAAAACAATCACTAATAACCTCTGTTTTTCAAAGTATGCATAAAGCTATAAATGTTTGTGTCTCTTCATGTCTGCTTGAACCACAGTATAATTTTGAGTAAGCTGGAGATGCTTACTTATGTACTGCCTGAAATGTGGCAGCCTTTTCAGTTGGTCACTTTTAGGGTCTACCTACATATCCTATGGGGCTATAGTAGCTTTGCTGTAGAATTTGTCATCAGTGTTCTACCAGGACCCTTCCTTCTTGCAGTAATTTTCTTTTTTTTTTTTTTGGATGATCTGCCAGCACTCTGACTGGAAGTGACAGCAAGTGACTGGGTTGTTTGCCATGAGGCCTTCTGGTGTCTTGTAGGAGGTGTGTGAAGTGTTGCGAGGTCATTCTGTATCTACTTCATAGTCACTTTTGTATGTGTGTGCCATTATGTGTAAGGTGAATAGAAATGGAGGCCAGGACTAAGGTACAGTGTTATGCTATATTTGTTTAGGAAGGCTTCTGAGAGTTATAGCCAGATCTTTCGTGTTTTTGAATGCACTTGCACACTACACTGTTGCTTACCTTGGAAAGCAGGATTGGGTGCCTCTGTGATGAGGAATGGAGCAGAATATCAGACTATTGTTATTGATATGTGTGTTTATCACCTTGACAATATATTTGGGCAGTGTAAGTGGTGAATGTTTGGACTATGGGAATACATCCATGAAACAATTCCTTGTCTCTTTGTTTTTAGTGCCAGGACTTGTTTATAGTGGAGTGTGCCAAAGTTTACCTCCAATTAAAAATCAGGAGAAGCAACAGTTTACCCCATGGTAAACGTTACTATCTGCCAGTTAGTCACAACACCCACAGTCTTTACAATTGATGAATAAAATGCAAAGTTGTAACGTAACTGGATTTTCCAGTCTGACTTCCTAGTTTCAGTAGTTTCAGTAGAATTTGCCGGAGCTTTATAAAAGTATGTAAGTATTTACCTGTGTATATGTCTGAGTATATGTATACACCCATGTATTAAATTCTGTTTAAACTACTCATATAATATTTATCAGAGATATAATGACACAACTTGTCAGCTCTGTCTTTCAGAGTCGCTCTTTCACCTTTGCTGAAAACTTTCTCAATGAGATTAGACCTAAAAACTCTAGTCAAGGCACACGAGTCTGCTGTTGCCATATTTCCCTGTCCACACAGCAAGTCCCCTTACAAGGCGGATAAAACCAGGCGCAAGTGAAAGCTTTAGTGATGCAGCTTGTGTGTAACTTGTCACTTTATGCTTATAGAAGACATATATTTCTCTTGTTTTCTTTTCTTTAAACTGAGAATATATAACAATAAACTTTCACAGTCATTGAAGTTATGATGCCTATTGAGTAGGTATTTAATTCTTTTCATGTCTGTCTACACAAAGTTCAGTGCAAAACCTATTGTTGATCATTGCTATTCTCTTCTAGTGTAAGCTGCACTCCAAGTGCAACTGTGTCTGTGTCTGCCTTTCTAGAAAGAGGTCAAATTGACATTTAGAGTTGTGCTTTGAAAAAAACTGCTGTGACTTCATGATCTTTCTGAAACTGGTATTCTCTGCCTTTTAAATAGAGACTTTCACTTGAAGGAATTTACAACAGATTTTCTTCTCAATCCTTCACACTTATATCCTGGCCTCATTCCAGTGTAGAAACTAGATTTGTAATTGCCTTATTTACAAGATAGGGTCTCCCCCTCTCTTTGTTTGCTTAACTTGACAGATTGTAGACTATCAGACGCCACTTAACCTTCTTAAAAAATGTTTTATTTCAATTCCTTTTCTAATAAGGATCCATTTATTCTCCTGAAAAACTATCATCAGAATGAACAGAAAAAGTGGATTTTTCTGAATTGAATTTGTATACTGGAGGATTGTAGTTCACAGGAAAGAACCAGAGAAAGTTTGATGTCTGCAGGGTCCATCCACACAGCACTATTGTTGTGTGAGGTGAAAGCAGGCACAGTGTGGTACCACCACTGAACCTCCCTCCTCCAAGATTGACACCAAGTGAATTCCCAGCATTGGTGCCCGGCGGCGTTTTCATCTGTGGCACTGGTCAGAAGGTCTATATGGTAAAGATCTTTCTCTTGGATGCAATACTGCTTGGTATGTGCCTGATAGAGCCTCCTCACCCTTTCCCCTCCACAGAGCATATGGGGATGTGAGAGGTACAGCTGCAGAGGTCTGGTGCTTTTCTGCAAACTGCAGCATCTTCTATTGGAAACCCTGACAGATCCTACATCAGTGTCTGCTGGTTTTGGCCAAGATGGGTACTTCTGTGTGAGCATGCAGATGGCGACTACCAAAATATGTATTATTTATGTAGCATATTCTTGTTTCATGTTCTCTAGATTTATTTCAAATGGATCCATGCAAAAGGCTAGCCCTCATCTGGAATTTCTAACAATATTGTGTTGCTGTATTATTTAACCTTTTTTTCCAGTATTGTGTAAGCAGCTGGCGCTTGCAGTCTGACTGGTGGGGTTATCAGGCTTTTGTCTCTATGACTCTGTGTAGGAGGACACCACAGTAACTACTCAGCTAGCTGGGCTGCTGAGGTGTTGTCAGTGATGACTAACGCTGGTTGGATTTTCTAGTCTGCTCCACCCCCTCTTTTTTCTCATCTCAGATAGATTGCAAAAATATTCCAAATGGTATAAATTGACTTGTTTGTAACACTGTAACAAGCAGATAATGTATAACAGCCTGGCATACAAGTCCTTTAAAAAATATTTGCTTCCATGGTTTCCTATTTTTTTTTTAATGACATTTGACTGCCTGGCTGAGCTGTGTGTGTCTCTGCTCCCTGACAAGCTTTTGCAGTGGGAAAAAGATGTTTTATTGTCCTCTGTGGGTGAATGCCAGTATTCATACAAAACACAGATTGTCCACTCATGCATGTAAATAAAAATACTTCAAGATAATGATGATGAAAAAAGAACATGCATAAGTCAAATGGATTATTTGCTGTAAATCCAGACAATAATGAGATCTGTAGAATCTATTTAATTTAGGCCCTGGTCCTGCAAGCATTTTTCAGTGTGTGAATACATTTATGTAGCACTGTTGAATTTTAGGACTGCTCAAGTTTATAAGATTAGTCCAAAGACTATGGAACACACAGTCATTTTGTGAAATCTCATCTAGTTTAATATGTAACCATCTTCAGGCTGTGGTCATATGTGTTTTATATTTCCTAGGCAGGGGAAGGCCACCCCAGAGGTGAGTAGCAGTTAACTGGGAACTGGCAAATTGTGAGTGCAGGTCCCAGGGCTGCTGCAGCCTGCCTGCCTTCTTGCATCTTGGCCTTAGGAAAAGGAAGGTCGTGGTGGAGAAAGTAACGTTTAATATTGTAAAGTCTTGTAAGAGTGAATACTTTCAGAAGAGTGAGGCAATGAAGAACTAGCTGTGGCTCTTTGTGTTTCCTGTTTGGGGTCCACAGGGTGACTGACTTTTTATACTGAATGTAGCTTATTGCAAGGTTCGGGTGCAAAATTTCTTATAAATGCCTTTGACTTTGCCATCAGGAATGAAACTTAGAACGGCTTGTTTGGCCTCATTCATAAGCTAGAACAACCAAATAAAAAGGGTTTTGCAACTAAATCACTGTTAAAAACCATTCTGGTAGAAAAGATTGATTTTATTAATTTACTGCCTTTTTTTTTTTTTAAGAAAAGAGACTTAAAGCCTGCATATGTTCAATATGATGACAAGGAGCATTGATAATGTTTTATAACTATACTCCTCTTTTGTACCTTGAAGGCTTGTAAGCTGTGGTCTCTCAGCAGACACTGAGCAGGAGCATGATGCTCATTCTTACGCCATCATTGTTGTTGAACTGACTGAAATGTGAAAGTCCAATTATCTCCTTAGGCGATAGTCTCATGCTTTATCATGTGCATGTGTATTATCATACCTAGGCAGCCTCATCTCCTCGGACGGTAAGATTGACGGGGAGATAGATAACAGGTTAGCAAAGGCATATAGTGCTTTTGGAAAGCTTCATAAAAGAGTCTGGTGAAATAAACACTTGAAGAAAAGTACCAAGATCAGTGTTTACAGAGCCATAGTGCTGTCTACTCTCTTATATGGTTCCGAATCATGGGTCATTTATCGCCACCACCTGCGTCTTCTAGAACGCTTCTGTCAACGCTGCCTCCGCACAATCCTAAACATCCACTGGTCAGATTATGTGACCAATACATCAGTTCTTGAACAGGCAGCAATCACAAGTATTGAGGCCATGTTGCTGAGAACACAGCTGCGTTGGGCAGGGCATGTCTCAAGGATGAAGGACCACCGCCTCCCTAAGATCCTGCTTTACGGTGAACTTGCCACTGGCTGCCGCAAGAGAGGAGCCCCAAAGAAAAGATACAAGGAGTCCCTGAAACAACATCTCAGCCTCGGCCATATTGATCTTCATCACTGGTCTACTCTGGCCTCCAATCGGG